TCTGCCTCTGCCTCTGTCTCTGTCACACACACACACACACACACACACACACACACACACACACACACACACCCCAAACCCAGACAGCTCTCAGACCAGCCCTGGTCCCAACCTCTCTTCCCTTGCAGAGAACCTGGAAAAGGTCAAACCTCCCACGGTCACAGTGTTTGAACCATCAGAAGCAGAGACCTCCCGCACCCAGAAGGCCACACTCGTGTGCCTGGCCACGGGCTTCTACCCCGACCACGTGGAGCTGAGCTGGTGGGTGAACGGGAAGGAGGTCCAGAATGGGGTCAGCACGGACCCGCAGCCCTACAAGGAGCGGCCCAACGAGAATGGCTCCAGCTACTGTCTGAGCAGCCGGCTGAGGGTGTCCTCTGCTTTCTGGCACAACCCTCGCAACCACTTTCGCTGCCAAGTCCAGTTCCATGGGCTCGGGGACGACGACAAGTGGGAAAACACCAGCCGGCCCAAACCCATCACCCAGAACATCAGTGACGAGACCTGGGGCAGAGCAGGTGAGCGGGGCCTGGGGGGCTGGGTGGGGAGTGAGTTAGAGCACAGAAAGGGGGGATCCAGGCAGAAGACCAGGCAGACACCGGACAGGGCGGGAAGACTAAGGCCCAGCGTGAGGGTGAACGGGCACCTCGGGGCTAATTCCTCCCCAGATCCTCAGCCCAGCAGAGCCTTGCAGCTGGGGTCCCCTCACTGTCCGAGCCTGTATGGCTCAGCACTGACGGGGGTGCCCCCAGCCCCTCTGTGCCACCACATTCCATGGGGTCCTGGGATGGTGTGGCTCCGCGGGCACAGCTCCAGAAAGACGGTCTAGGCGTCTGCGAGAAGCCTGGTCTGAGCCTGGGCGTCCGTGCTAACCAGGAGGCTGACTTAGTGTGTTTGTGTTTGTGTCTGGTCGGTTCTTAACTGAAGCACAGCTGACAAATAGTATTGCCTTAGCTTCACGTGTGCCTAACTTGGCAGCTTTCCGTCTGCTTTAAAAGATGGGGTCTCTCATCCATTCCCTCCGCCTTCTCTCTTTCAGACTGTGGCTTCACTTCAGGTAAGTGACCCTCTCCTCTGCTTGTTCTCCGTCTCCCATGGTTTTGTCCTGCAAGCCAAGCATGGAGAACCATGGACCCCGGGGTGGGGGGTGGAGAGGCCAGAGACACCTGCTCACAGGTCCCTGTGCGCTCTCCCTTCCCGCCCACAGTGGCCTATCAGCAGGGCATCCTGTCTGCCACCATCCTCTATGAGATCCTGCTGGGGAAGGCCACCCTGTATGCCGTGCTGGTCAGCGCCCTGGTGCTGATGGCCAAGGTAAGGAGGTGGGCAGGATGGGGCCCTGGAGGGGACACTTAAAACATAGCAACTCAGAGCTGGGAGTATCGAGAGACCTTGCTTGGGCCAGGGGTGGGCAGTAGAAGAAGACGGAGGTCCACCCACAGGCCTCAGAAGACACACTGTACCTCTGGGATCACAGTGGGGGAGCCAGGCAGAGAAGGAGAAGCTGGGGTCACATGAAAACCCAATGGACATGGTAAAGAGAACTACCATTCGTCTTGTCAGCGGACCATCTTACTTCCTCTCCATCCCCATCACTCCTGACTCCGGCTAACCCCTGGAACCTTCTCTTCTTCAGGTCAAGAGAAAGGGTTCCTGAAACCAGCTCAGAGGCAGAGCTAGGAACTTCCAGCTTCTATTGCCCCAGTATGGATTCTCCTTTCTCCACTTCTAGCCGGTGCTTCTCAAGAGCTGTCTTCATCTCTCTGTTCACCCCAATAGCTACCCCCTATGTTCATGCACACCTGGACGCTCATGACCCAAATCTCCCTAACCCAGGGGGGACCCTAGCCTGACCAAATTGACTGAATCAATAAAAATGGCCTGTTCTGGCTTGACTCTGCCTTGTGATGTCTGGATATCTCTTCTGCCCATGGCTGACCTCCCATGTGACTCCAGTCAGGCTAGAAACAAGAGGTTTTTGAGGAAAGAGCAGGTCCCTCCGGTACCAGGGCTGAGGGACCCAGCCTGGGGCGACCCCGCTCCTCTCTGTCAGGGTAACTTGAGTAGATGTGAACAGGGGTGCTGGGATTGAAGAGGCTTACTCAGGAATAGCCCAGAAAAACTGGTGACGTTTCCTATAAGAACTTTCTGTCCTACCTGGACGAAGGTGCTCTGAGGAAGAGTCCACCTACACAGGTGTGTCTCCCGCCAACTGGTCATGTACCCATGGCTGGGTGGCTCAGTCGGTTAAGCGTCTGCCTTCAGCTCAGGTCACGATCCCCGGGGCCTGGGATCGAGCCCCACATCGGGCTCCCTGCTCAGTGGGGAGTCTACTTCTCCCCCTCTGACCCTCCCCCCTCTCATGCTTTCCCTCTCTCTGTAATAAATAAAATCTTAAAAAAAAAAAAAGAAGCTTGCTTTCATACCTATCACCCCATTCATTTCAGCTGTCTCCCTGAGTACACCACTGTTTTCATTTGTCACCAAGCAGTCTTGGCGGCCGAGAAGAGAAGGCGCTGACTTGGAGATGGATTCTCAAGTAGCACATGTGTCTTCCAGTTTAAGTCACAGATCTGTTTATAAGTTTCTCTCTCGTGAATTACATGGGTGTGAAAATGATCACTCCTGGAAGGATAGAAAATAAAGGTCGCCAAAACCAAGAATCAGCCCTATTGCTATTTCTAGAAATCCTCTAAGAGCATTTCAGTTGTCTCATTGTCACCGTGGTGATGCGGGGCACAGTCCTGGGGATGGCTTCTAGGCAGTGGTCCTCTGCTTCCTCACTCCATGCATACCCCGCTCCTCTCACCCTGCATCCCGGAGCCACCCGCTCTCAGGCTATTTTGCACTCCATCACCTGGAGGCACAAAGCACTCCAACTTCTACTTCTTCTTGAAGACTTAGCCCCAACATCTTCCCCGGCAAGAAGCCTTCTCGGGCGCTTCCTTGCCTGAACTAGCTAGCCATCTACTCTCTCACTCATGGGACTGTAACACATGACTTTCTTTCTCCATTGCGATGCATGAGGCATTCACATGTGTGTGCACACTTCTACAACACACACACGTATATGTATATATATATATTTACATACACGCGCGCGTGCACTAACCCACTCATCGAGCACACATCATTGCAATGTTCTGCTATTCACCTTCAGGAAAATAAAGAGATCCATGTCACAGTCCCCAGGAAGCCTACCTGTTCACGAGGGGGTCATTCATGAATAGAAACAGTGGAAATACAAAGTGATGCTTTCCAATAGCAATGTGAGCTGTCTACTAAAATGCAGTCAGAGGCTAGCACTCAACTTCCCACTGAGATCATCAGGGTGGCAAACTCTTCAAAGAAAGAACTGGTCTAATTACCCCTGTGAGGCGCTGGTTGTGACAGTCAGAGACATGAACCAGAGCCGAAACAAAGGGGTCCGGTACTCGCGGGTGCTTAGCCGGGGACGAGGTTCCGAGATAGGAGGGATGAGACGTTAGGCAGGCTGGTGCGGGCTCCTCGGAGGGTGGACTCATGCACATAGGGGATGTTCATGGAGTGTGGGGGCTACATGAAGGATAAGGAGCTTGGACTCTGTTCAGGGAGCAGTGGGGAATTATAGAGGTTGCTTGTCCCCATGCCCCCTGCTATCACCTGGTCTATGGAATCCACCCTTCAACCCTCCCACCCCACCTCACTATAAGTGCCTGTCTGTGCAGGTGGGCACAGTGAGTCCCAGAGGGGAGACCTGGTGACATAGAATGTTCTGCCGTGGGGCCTCTGCCCTGCCCCCACCCCATGAGCACCATGACCTTCCCCAGCCCCTCCCCACTTTAAATGTACTCTGAGTTTGCTCCCAGCCCCAGTCAATCAAACCTCTGTCATCTGCACTTCCTGCCTCTGCCCAGTGGCTGGGGGAGGGGACCAGAGGGAAAGAAACATTTTGTATCCTGCTGTAACATTGTGGGAGCTGGGGGGCCACCATGATTCAGGTAGAGGGGGTGCTTTTACAAAAAGCCCTGCCTCAGAAAATATCTCCACCCAGCTCAGGAAACACAGCTCCTGGATGGGGAGTGGCTGGGAGGTGTCTCTGGAGCTGGTCCCTGGGTCCCAGACAGCTTTCCAGGAACGTGAAGGGCCAATGCATCAAAATGGGATCATCATGACCATTTTTGCAGTGATTAAAAAAAAAGGGGGGGGATCATCATCCAGCATTTTTCATAAAAACTTGCCCTTGACAAAAGTACTTACACATGCGTTTATTTATTAAGAACTCACAACAACACTGTGTAAAACCTACCACCCCACTTTTCAGATGAAGGAAATAAGGCCAGAGAGGTTGCAGGTCCTGTAAGTAGTAAGAGACAGGGTCTAGCCTGGAACAACCCCCAACTCCAGCCCAAACCCCCATCACCAATCCCCGTTCATTTTCCACCTCCACTGTATTGTCCCCAAGCCAGGTTGATTCTCCTCCGCAAACTGGAGATGATCTCCCGTGGCATGGACATTACTATGTCCAGCTAGCCCTGGAGGGGGGATGAGAGAAGCCCAGGAAGGAGGAGAGTGCACCCCCAGCTTGTGTCAAGGGAAGTAGGAAGGAGGAGAAATTCTTGGCAGCCCCTGCCCACTGTGCTATTACGGGGAGCAGCACTTTGGGCCAGGGACCCGGCTCACCGTACTAGGTAAGAAAGCCGCTCCCGGTGGGAAGGAGGGTGGGTTGCCCAGCCTGGACCATCCCCAGGACCTTGGCCCTCAAGGAGTGGGTGCTGGCCCCTCCCTGGGCCCCTATCGGGAGGGCGGGTTTGTGCCTGGGTCCCCAGAGCTGTGCAAACACGGGACAGCTGTACTTCGGGGCCGGTTCCAAGCTGACGGTGCTGGGTAAGGAGGTTAGCTGGGGGCTGAGCGCTCTGCGAGGTGGGGTGGAGACAGGTGGGCAGCTGCCCGGCTTCTGGAGCTGTGCTAGAGGCGGGGCTCGGCGCCTGGGCCGGGACTCCCGGTTCTGGGTGCGGGGTGCGCGAGGGAGCGGGGCTGGCAGGAGAGGGCAGCGCCGGATTTTTGCGCTGGGGCTCCGGGCTGTGAGTACAGAAACTCAGTATTTCGGCAGGGGCACCCGGCTGACCGTGCTAGGTAAGCGCGGGGTGCCCGGGGACGCCGGGGAGCGCGGTGGGGCCAGGGGACGGCGGGCCTGTTTTTGTGCTGCGCCGGGGGGCTGTGAGCCAAAATACCCAGTACTTCGGCGCGGGGACCCGGCTGTCCGTGCTAGGTGAGCGCGGCGCGCGGCGCGGCCGGGTTCTTGGCTGGGGGCCCGGGGCCGTGCTTTACAAACAGCCTCTGCCCTGACCTTCGGGGCCGGCAGCCGGCTGACCGTCGTGGGTGAGTGGCCGCGGGACCCGCCGCGAGCGCCGCGGGGTCGGGAGGGAAGGCGGCGGCCCCAGGGCTCTTCCCCGCCCGGCCCCTGGTGGGCTCCCGGCGCTGGGGCCCGGCTGCGAGCGGGAGCGGGAAGCGGCTGGGGCGCTGCGGGGTTTGCGTGTGGGGCTGGGCCTCTGTGCTCCTATGAGCAGTACTTCGGCGCCGGCACCAGGCTCACGGTCATAGGTGAGATTTGGGCGTCTACCCCCGCGGCCCCGCCACGGTCCCTCGGAGGCGGGAGAAGGCGCGGGTGGGCCAGGGCTGGGGCGCGCGGCCGGCTGTCGGTCCGCGGGGTCAGCCCGGCGAGGGGGCGGGGACCGGGTCCTCGCCGGCCGGGCACGAGGGCGGAGGGCCAGGGGGCTGTGGGGCTCTTTTCCTGTTCCTGGGGTATTTAGGGGCAGGGTGAGTGGGGCGCGAGAGCACTGATGAGGACGCAGAGCCGCTGGGTTGGGGGACAGGACTGAGAAGGGCTGCGGGGAGGAGAGGAGGGGTGTGGCTGCTATAGAAAGCGGGCACCGAGCCCGAGGGGCAGGAAAAAAAGCAAGGACAAGCATGGGACGGGCGGGCACCCAGCCGGGCGGGCTCCTGGGGGAGGTAGATGGGAGGGGAGGCCGCTGAACAGAGGAGAAAAGGAATGAGAAACAGGAGAGGAATAGAGAGGCCAGATCAACGTGAGTCAGTGAAGAGAAGAGTCAAAACAAGCAGGGTTAGTTGATTTACTGTTTAGCATTTAAAATCATATTTAATACCCCTGCCTTGCTCTCCTAAGCCAGAGAGCCCCCTGAGGTGTGTCTACAGCACCCATTCCTGCCCGTGAGCTGGACTGGAACCCTCAGCCGCTGGGATGCATTCGCCCTGCCCCCCGCCCCCCACGTCTCCCTCTGCCCCCCAGCCTGAAATCTCGGACCTCACACGAAGAATTCCGGCGTCAACAGCCCAGGTGGTGGAGGAGGTTCAGCTGTTGCAAACGTATATTAAAATGCAGATATTTTGTTTGTGAGGTGAGGGAAGTTTCCAGGAGAATCCTAAGCTCCTAGATGTGGAAAGGAACCTCAAACATCACCTGGTGAGGAGAATGTTGAGGCCAGAGAGGGGAAGAAACTCATGATACTGGTACATTAACCTGGATTATTTGATAACAACAAGCCCCGTTTCTCCTTAGACTGTCATTAAGCCGGAGCCAATGGGGCTCATCTAAACTCTGTCCAGGGCAAATGCCAGATTCCTCTGATCAGCAGGGGTGGGCCCAAGACCAGACTTTAGAGCCAGATAAACCTGGGCCCCAGTCACTGGCTCGCTGATGATCAGATGACCTTGGGCAAATGAATCTGTGTGAAGTTCGGTCCCCTCTGTGGTACAAGGTCATCAGCAATACCTACCACTTACCGTTGCTGCGAGGGTGACCAACAGGAGAGCCTACGCGTAGAGTATGCAGGGAAGGTGGATTGTTATAATTTGGCCCTTCTCCTCTCCACCCTTCCTCTTGGTGGTCAGTGGGGCGTGAGGGGAAAGGGTGAGCCCAGTGCCCGAGGAGGGACAGGATTTGGCATGTGGATCATGGAGGGGAGGGCTGGGTAGGCGTGAGCGGTGGATCAGGAACAGGAAAGATAAACTTCACAGTGCTGCCTGAGGCCCATCCAACCCACAAACAGAGCATATATACAAACAGAAGCTCACTAGTACATACACTTACACCCACATAGGCAAGCTCACCCACACCCCACAGGGACTCACAAACATGGAAGGATAAACTGACCCTGCCCTCACACGGAGCTGTGTAGACGGGGGCTTCAGAGTGTCACGGCGTCCTGTTTGTCCTGCCTGTTGCGTCCATAAACATCGTGGGAAGCATCACACATGATTCAAAGGACATCACTAATTTTGCAAGAAGGACTGAGTGGGGGCCAGAGGAGTACATTCAGTAGTGCCCCAGGAGAGCTGGTCCAATTTCAGAGCCAGGGTCTTTGAGACAAGAGTGACGACACCAGGCTGAGCAGAGAGATTGATGGAGCTGGGCCGTACAGATGTGAGGGTGTTACCACCTCTGGTAAAGACCTAGAGACATCGTCTGGGTTAGCAAGTAGGAGTTGCAGGGAGGGGAAGCTGGCAGGATGGGAAGCCCGACCAGCTCAAAATGAAAATGCCAGTCTCTTGTTAAAAATTATTTAGAATTTCAAGATGGTGACAACGGGCCTTAAGCCAAGGGTGGGGCCTTTGTAAGCACAAGGTCCTGTACACGGGTCCTACACTTATGAAGCTGGCCCCGGAAGTTAGGGCCCATCCAGAGAAATGGGAAGTGTCAGAAGGACATTTTCTCCATCTTCCATTCTAAACTAGAATCTCATAAGGAGATTTTTCATTTTAACAGAATTGCCAAAAAATGAACAACAAAAAAATCCGTGGAAAGCAAAGAAGGATAAAATGAATGCACAGCAGACTCAGAAGAAGGGAGCCAGCAAGAGAGGGTGGTCTGCGCCCTCACCCCCGACTCTGCAGAGGAGAGGCTTTGCACAAAAACTGTATCAAAGCAGCTGCTAGCAAGAAGTTGCTCTGATGATCTCAGATGCTTATTCAGGAAGCTGACTGGTAGGAAAAAAAGTATCACATTTGGAAGCAAAGGCGCAAAGAAAGTTGACAAATCCCCGAATTTGATCTAAGGAGAGATTGCTCTCTGCGCTGAGGAACCTCAGGGGGTACTACCCTCAAAGCAGAGGAATGGCAAGGGAGGACCTCATAAACCACAAAGAAAGTCAGAAAATCGCACATTCTCATGAGCACGCCAGAAAACAAAAGGGTACCCTTGCCTGAGTGAACAACAATATGCCATTTGTAGATTGTCATCTGAAGAGAATCCCCAGCCCTCAAATGACCCCCTTTGCCCAATTCCCCTTCACTCCTCAGCCTCTTCGATTTTGAAGCAATTCACCGGCTGAGGACAGAGGCCGTCTGAATGCTCATGTCACTTAACCTCCATGGCCACTCCGGAAGGTCAGGGTCAGGATTTTCCCTTCAGAAGCAGGAAAAATGATGCAGAGAAATGAAGACACTGTCCCAAAGGCACACTGGTGGGCAAAGTCAGTTTTAAGATTTGGATCCTATTATTCTGATTCCAATCCTGTGCTCACTGCCCTTGAATAACTACTACGTTATATAGTGAAATGTAGACACGTAAGCCTTTTACTGATGGAAAAGAGGTCAAATAACATCAATGAGGGGACGTTACTCAGAATGTCTACAGGGTGACTGCAAAGGACAGGCAGGGCAGACGAACAATTACAGAGGGATGGGGACAGTGACCCCCAAACACACAGGACCTACTACTACATAATTCCGCTTAGGAGGACTCCATTTCCAGCTTTATCTCTGCCTCTCTCTTTCTTTATTTCTGTATCTGCCTCTGCCTCTGCCTCTGTCTCTGTCACACACACACACACACACACACA